ATAGAGACTGCAGCAGTCTGAGGATTTGTAGAGACAGGATTGTGCCTTTGGTCTGAGCATTGGAAGAGATAAGAACTCTCCAGTGTTTGACTGTTCTGCTTCTCTGATCTTTTTGTATTAGTCCCTATATCTGACTCCAGGTTTTTATTATTATTTTAAATTTTTTTTAAAAAAAATTTATCTTTTCTAATTATACATGCCAAATCCATTTCCATTCCTTTCCCTCTTCCTGCTCCCTCCACCTGCCCCCTCCCACACACCATCCCATACCTATCCACTTCTCAGAGAGTATGGCTTCCAATGGGGAGTCAATAAAGTCTAGCACATTGCTTTAAGGCAGGACAAAGGCTCTCAAGGTATCTAGGTTGAGCAAGGTATCCATTCAGAGAGAATTAATTTCTAAAAGCCAGAACAAGCAGTAGGGATAAATCCTTGTTTTACTGCCAGTAGCCCTAAGTCTATCCCAGCCATATAATTGTCACCCACATTCAGAGGGCCCAATTTGGTCCTATGCTGGTTTTCTCACTGTCAGGTCAAAGTTGGAAGGCTCATTAGCTCAGGTAAACTGTTTTAGTTGGTATTCCCATCATGGTCTTGGTCTCTTTGCTCATATTCTCATTCCTCCCTCTCTTCAACTGGACATTGGGTGCTCAGCCTAATCTCCACTGTGGTTCTCTGCATCTGCTTCCATCAGTTGCTGGATGTAGGTTCTTTGATGGTATTTAAGACAGTAATCAGTGTGACTCAGAGCAAGGCTAGTTTAGGCACACTGTCCTCTATTGCTTAGGGTTTTAGGTGGTGTCATCCTTGTGGATCCCTGGAAATTTCTCTAGTGCTAGGTTTCTTGCTAGCCCCATAATGGCTCCCTCAATCAAGATATCTCATCCTTTGCACTCATCTCTGTCCTCCCCACATCTCAAATTTCTGTTCCCTCTAGTTCTCCTCTCCCTCCAATTCTCCCCTCTACCTTCCCTTCTCTATCACCCCCATGCTCCAAATTTTCTCAGGAAATCTTATCTATTTCCCCTTCCAAGGGAATCTATGCATGCTTTTCATAGAGTTCTTCTGGTTACTTAGCTTCTCTGGGGTCATGGATTATAGACTCCTTATTATTTGCTTTAGAGCTAGTATTCAAGTATGAGTGGGTTCATACCATGCTCATCTTTCTGGGTCTGGCTACCTCACTCAGGATGGTTTCTTCTAGTTCCATCCATTTGCATGCAAATTTTAAGATGTTGTATTTTTAATCACCGAGTAGTACTCCATTGTGCGAATGTACCACATTTTCTTGTTCCATTCTTCATATGAGGGGCATCTGCATTGTTTCCAGGTTCTGACTATTACAAATAATGTTGCTATAAACATAGTTGAACAAATGTCCTTGAGTATGGCTGAGCATCATTTGGGCATATGCCCAAGAGTGATATTGTTTGGCCTTGCCGTAAGTTGATTCCCAATTTTCTGAAAAACCGCCATACTGATTTCCACAGTGGTTGTACAAGTTTGCATTCCCACTAGCAGTGGAGGAGTGTTTCCCTTATTCTGCATCCTTTCCAGCACAAGCTATTATTGGTGTTTTTGATCTTAGCCATTCTGACAGGTGTAAGATGGTATCTCAGAGTCATTTTGATTTGTGTTTTCCTGATGGCTAAGGATGTGAACATTTCCATAAGTGTCTTTCAGCCACTTGAAATTCTTCTGTTGAGAATTCTCTGTTTAGATCTGTGCCCCATTTTTTATTTGGATTATTTGATATTTTGATGTCTGTTTTCTTGAAATCCTTATATATTTTGGAGATCAGTCCTCTGTCTGATGTGGGGTTGTGAAGATCTTTTCCCATTCAGTAGGCTGTCTTTTTGTCTTATTGACCATGTCCCTTGTTTTACAGAAGCTTCTCAATTTAAGGAGGTCCAATTTAAATTATTGTTGTTCTCAGTGTCTGTGCTACTGATGTTAAATTTAGGAAGTGAACTCCTGTGCCCATGCATTGAAGATTACTTTTCACTTTCTCTTCTATCAGGTTCAGTGTGGTCGGATTTATATTGAGGTCTTTAATCAATTTGGACTTGAGTTTTGTGAATGGGGATAGATATGGATCTATTTTCATTCTTCTATATGTTTACATCATATTACATTATGCCAGCACCATTTGTTGAAGATGCTTTCTCTTTTCCATTGTATAATTTTAGCTTCTTTGTTGAAAAACAGGTATTCCTAGGTGTGTGGATTAATATCCAGGTCTTCATTTCAATTCCATTGGTCTACCTCTCTGTTTTTATGCCAATATCAAGCTGTTTTCATTACCATAGCTTTTATGATTTTTGTCCGCAGCGGGTCCCGGGCAGCTGTAGACAGGCAGTGGGCTCTGGGAGCAGCCAGTCCCAAGGCAGAGACAGCGGGTCCCTGCAAGGTCCCCAGTGGGCCATGTGATGGCAGGCAGGAGACAGAGACATGTATAGACACAACATGTAGAGTGAGGTTGAATATTTATTCAGGGAGTTATGTAGGGGGAAGGGAGAAGGGGGGAAGGGAGAAGGGGGCAGAGAGAGAGAGAAGAGGAAAGAGATAGAGAAGGGGGGAAGCAGGGAGACACATGCGCATGCCCAGAGGGGACAGTGAGAGATTTAAGATGGTGGGGGAGTGGGCGTGGCTTGCCTCTTAAAGAGTCGAAAACCATAACATTCCCAGCTCTTTTTTATAATAAAAAGCAGGAGATTAGACACCACAGTTTGACGGAATTGGGGCGGCGAATTCTCAAGACTGCTTCCAGCTTATTTGTGGGCATCATCTTGGGGGGGGGACCCTGAGAAGGCTGGGTGCTGGCCACATCCTGGCATAGTTGGTCTCTTTGCTCCCAACAGGTGTCTGTGGCTTGGAAATGTCTGGTGTCTCTTATCCTGTTTAAGGTATTTGCAGAACAAAGAACAAAGTTAAATTAAGGAAAGAAAATTTTTTTAGGACCAGGGAATTGAGAGGGTATCTGACCTGTTAGGACCAGGGAATTGAGGGTGCTGTATCTGACCTGTTTAAGGTGGATTCTTTAATTTGGCTCCCTGGAACTCACAAGAACAACTTGGGTTTGTGAAAACAGAAGTTTTAGACACATAATGACTGTGGCATAGTTTTTTGTACAATGAAAAGTATGTTTTTAAGACTATGGAAGGCAGCATAAGAGAGAAATTTGATTTGAAATTTATTTGGTGAGGTAGCCTGGCAAAACCTCTCAGCTATCAGACTGTATCAGAGATCTTTGAGAAGGATAAGATTTTACTTGAGTTACTGATTAAAAAATGACAGGGAACTTACTTGGTTGGCACCCAGAGCTACTCTTTGGGTCCTTCTTGGTTGCTGAAGGTTGTACTTGACCTTTGCTGTTTAGCACCAGGCCTGACAGGCTCCAGAAGACCCTGTGGGCTAAGAAATCTTTAGGAAGACAGGCCTACCTTGACCTGAGCAGCTAGGCTGTCGATTCCAGCGATTCTATCCATGTCTGGAGGTCTTTAGTTTAGATGAAAGGCAGTTTTGCCCAATGGTCAGCACTTGGCAGTTGAAGTGAACTGCAGAAGGACGTTCTGTGCCTATTTGTCTTCTGTCTTTTTTGGAGGAAACAGAGCACTGCTGCTGGGAGCCAACCTGTCTCTTTTTGTTATGAAAAGTTTTTTTTAATAATTAAATATTTAAATATCACATTCCCCAGATCTCTGAGCAGTTGAGGGCTGTTTATTAGGTATAACTGCAGTATAAAATCTGTTTGGAAGGTTGGGTCTGAGCTTGACTGTACTGGCTCTTAACAGGTAAGATTTACACTCATAAAAAGGCAGAAAGAGGAAAAAAACTGCTTGTAATACAAGGTTAATGACAGACCTGACAATAGTGGAGAACAGCTTAATCTATTTTAAGAGACTTAAAGGTACATACCAGTTTAAAACATGAGACTTACGATTTTGTAGTCTGAAATGAGATGTAATGAACAATTATTGTACACAGAAAGAGTGAACAGGAATTGGGCAACGTGGCTGATTTTGATGGGCCCTATCAAAGGCATGCCACTGCGCAAAACACATATAACAGAGTTAACAAAAGGATTTTAGTGAAAACCAGGGGACAAGGCAAGGTATACTTAAGTAAAAATGGGAGAGCTTGGTCATCTGACCTGGTTCTCAACCAAGATGGCGGTAAGGTCACCCATGTAATAAAGTTAACACTGGGGAACCAGGCAGGTAACACCTCAGTGAAGATGGCGGACTTTGGTCACCTGATCTGGCCCTCAGTCAAGATGGTGATAAAGTCACCTGACCCCAGTCAAAATGGCGGCAGCCACATATTGTTTGAAAAAGTCACAATTTTTGAGCTGTAAGGATTTTAAGCTTAATGAGAGGGACCTAAAGACATGATCTGCCCTGTTGCTGAGCTGCCATGCCACACCACAAGCCACGGGGCGGGGTGCAAAAGGCTGTAACTGAAAAAAAAAACTGCACCATGCCATGGCTGGAATTGAAAAGCCAGCTGGAATTGAAAAAATCGGGGAGCTGCCATGGGCAGTTGCTATCCAGAGCCAGAATCGTGAAAACCCGCGAAGCAGCAGCATCCAAGGCCTATATCGGAATGTCTTCCGGAAAAATATAGGCGGGATGCAAATCGGCGTCAACACTCAGGACTTGTGGATGAGGACCGTGAATGGGGTTCTGAGCGGCAGTTACGACGAGAGGAGGAGAAAAAGAAAAGAGAAGAAATGGAAAAAAAGAGATAAAGAAACTGAGAGACCCTGGGTCCCCAGTCAAATGCATTGTACGGGGAATATGCAGTGTTAACGTGCAGGCGGACTGACCCCCGGGGTCAGTCCAAACACGATTCCAGTACAGGAAAGCAACCGTAGCAGAATGGGGAGACTCACCGATTGAAGCCAACCCAGTTCAGGATCCTAACCCTGGGAGGAGTTTTGGGCAGGAGCGCCTATCTGAGTCGCATGGCCCCAATTTTATGATTTTTGTCCCTGGCAGGTTCTGAGCAGCTGGTAGCGGGCTCTGGGAGATGCGCGGGTCCCTGCAAGATCCCCTGAGTGGTTGCTGGTTCCAGTGAGGTGCAGTTTCCCAGCATCAAGCAGCTGAGCTGACTGGTCCCGCCATGCAGGTGAGTGTGAGCGGGCGGCAGGTAAAAGGAAGGCACATGGGCAGACACATCGTACAGAATAGAATTGGATATTTATTACTTAGAAGAGAGAGAGAGAGTGGGGAAACAGGAGAAGAGAAGAAGAGGAAAGAGACAGAGAAGGGGGGAAGTGGGGAGACACGCCCTCACCCCAAGAGAGGACAGACAGAGATCTAAGATGGCAGTGGGAGGGAGGGACCACCGGGAATGGGTGTGGCTTTCCTCTTAAAGAGACAAAAACCACCATTACAATAGCTCTATAGAAGAGCTTGATGTCAGGGATGGTGATGCCTCCAGAAGTTCATTTATTGTACAAAATTGTTTTTTTTTTCCATATGAAGTTGAGTATTGTTCTTTTGAGGTCTGTGATGAATTGTTTTGGGATTTTGATGGAGACTGCATTGAATCCGTGATTGATTTTGGTAGGACTGCCATTTTTACTATGTTGGTCCTACCTATCCAAGAGCATGGGAGATCTTTCCATTTTCTGATATCTCTTTCATTTTCTTTCTTCAAAGACTTTAAGTGCTTGTCAAACGGGTCTTTTACTTCTTTGGTTAGTGTTACCCTGAGATAATTTGTGTTATTTGTTGTTATTGTGAATGGTGATGTTTCTCTAATTTCTTTCTCAGCTTCTTTGTCATTTGTATGTAGGAGGGCTACTGATTTGTTTTTTGAGTTGATCTTGTATTATGCCACATTACTAAAAATGTCTTTCATCTGTTGAAGTTCCCTGGTAGAATTCTCACTTATAAATAGATATGGAGAGAGTGAATAGCCTTGTCTTATTCCTGTTTTAGTGCAATTACTTCGAATTTCTTTCTGTTTATTTCAGTGTTGGCTGTCGACTTATTGTATACTGCTTTTATTATGTTTAGATATGTTTCTTGTTGAACAGGTCTTTCATTTCTTTGACTAATGTTACCCAAAGATATTTTGTGTTATTTGTGGCTGTTGTGAAGGACGATACTTCTCTGAGATGCTTCCTCAGCTTCTTTATCATTTGTATATAGCAGGGCTACTGATTCTTTGAGTCGTTCTTGTATTCTGCCACATTTTTGAAGGTATTTATCATCTGTAGAAGTTCCCTAGTGAGCCTTTGGTGTCAGTTATGTTTACTATCATATCGTCTGCAAATAACAAAAATTTGACTTCTCACTTTTCAATCTGAATCCCCTCTTGATCCCCTTTTGCTGTCTTATTGCTCCAGCCAGAATTTCAAGAACTTTGTTGAGTAGGTATTGAGAGAGTGGACAGCCTCATCTTGTTCCTGATTTTAGTGGGATTGCTTTGGGTTTCTCTCCATTTAATATGATGTTGGTTGTTGGCTTGCTGTATATTGACTTTATTATGTTTAGGTATATTCCTTGTATCCTTGATCTCCCCAAGACCTTTATAATGAAGAGCTATTGGATTTTGTTGAATCCCCTTTCAGCAGCTAATGAGATCATCATATGTTTTTTCTTTCAATTAATTTGTATAGTGGATTTTTATAGAAAATTTCTATAGTATAGAAATAAAATTTCTGTAGTATAGAAAATTTATAGATTTTCATATGTTGAACCATACCTGCTTCTTTGAAATAAGGTCAACTTGATCTTGGTGGAAGATTTTTTTGATGTATTCTTGGATTCAGTTTGTCAGCATTTTATTGGGTATTTTTGCATCTATATTCATGCATGAGATTGGTCTGTAATTCTCTTTCTTGGTTGAGTCTTTGTGTGGTTTTGGTATTAGGATAACTGTAGCCTCATCGAAAGAGTTTAGCAGTGTTCTTTCTGTTTCTATTTTGTGGAATGCTTTAAAGTATATAAGTATTAGCTCTTCTCTGAAGTTCTGGTAGAATTCTGCACTGAAACCCTCTGTCCCTGGGCTTTTTTTTCCTTTTTTTGGTTGGGAGGCTTTTGATGACAGCTTCTATTTCTTTGTAGGTTATAGATCTATTGTTCACCTGATCCTGATTTAATTTTAATTTTGGTATGTTGTTGGTACCCAGGTTTCTTCCCCTTTGTTCGTGGCGCTATGCAGGGCCATTTTACCTCTGGCTTTCTGGCTTCTCTGCTCTTGCACCGGCCTGAGGGTTTAGCTTAGAAAGAACTTGGCCCTCTTTTGTTATGGTGATTCCACCTGCAAGCAAGGATCCCACCGGCGGCTATATGTCTGCCACCGCAGCTGCTGTCTGGCCTTGGGTGCCAGACACCTGACATCCTCTTCCCCTGTTCCAGATGGAAGGGGCTATTTTCCCTTTGCCCCCTAGTATATATACCTGACTTGTGTTTAATAAAGTTGCCATTTACTCCTTGGTGAATGGGCATGTTCTCTTTGTGTGTGTCTGTTTAACCCTTAGGATATTCATCCATTCTCGTGGACTTGATTTGGGATAGCGTGCACCTGAATCGGGTGTAGGTATTCACAGAAAAGTGCAGACAACAGATGGAGGCACCACTGGGATACTGAAGGACAACTGTGTTCTGCTGTCTGTGGACCCACCATGAGAACCCCGGGAGGTAAGGGTCACCCCACGAAAAAACTGGCCAGTTTCGTAGTGTGCAATTGTGCAAGTGTGATAAGGGGGTGAATAAGTTTAATGTTTAGAAGAATGGGTGCCAAAAGGTCTGATCCGGAGCTAAAGGCCAGTGGACAGATCAGCTGCTGGATTTCGTAAAGAGACTAGGCACCAGGTTTTAAATGACACGGCATAGGAGACCGTTTAGACTATTTTAGAACTCAGTCCCTGGCTCTCACATGCAGGGAACTTTAACTTTTACCAAAGAGAACAGACTGGGCACATCTAGCTCCTGGCGGGAATCCGTTCCCAAGGCAACAGGGCCCAGTGTAGCTGGCGACTAGCAAATAAAATAGCTGAGGGCCCATAAAAGTGTGGGCCTCGGACTGAGAGAAGATTCAAAAAATGTATTTATAAGTTCTATTAAGAGTTTTTGAGTAACAAAAAAAACAGCTTCACAGAGCCTGTCTTTCAGGGAGATTAGAAAGCTCCCATGCATGTTTAAATGTGGGTCACAGGGCCGCACACGGCCCCTCACCACGGCTGAGGTTCTACTAGGTACACTTAGAAACAGAGAGACAGGCTGCTGGATGGCGCGGGGAGGAACATAGGCGGCCGCCGGGCCCTGCCTAATGAGCGGCGGGGCCGTGACAGACAGGCCAAGGAGGGTAGAAAGGCAGCGGTGCCGCTGGTACACACAGACGCAGATGCAAACTTGTCCGGGAGGCGCGGCCGCACTGACCAGATACAGGGAGGGAGCAGAGCCCATGAGCCAAACGTCAGCGACGCAAAAGGGGGCCGCGCATGTGCTGGCTCCCACGCCCAAGGCGGCCAGTGAGCGGCGGGCAGCAGGGACCACCCGCGGTGCCCCTAAAACAGGGCGCAATGCCAGTTGTGGTGGCACACGCCAGTAGGATTTGCTAAAGGAGGCAGAGGCGTCTGCAAAAAGCCATGTCTCCACAGTACGTGAGCGGGCCTATGTCCCGCCCCCCCGCTGTGCAGCGCAGCCTCAGCAGTTTAAAGTTAGGGACTGTAATAGATTCAAAGGTTCCATAATTATACAGACCCAATAGAGACTTAGCTAAATCTTGGAATGGTTTGTTGCCTAATTTTCTAAAAATCCAAACTGTGCCAGTTTACATTTCCACCAGTGGTGGAGGAGTTTCTCTTATACATAGGTTATAAACAGTATTTGATCTTGATCATGTTATAGGGATAAGATAGAGTCTCAAGAGTTATTTTGATTCACATTTCTCCAATGATTAAAGATGTTATATTTCAGGATTTTTTAAATGTCTTTCAGTCATTTTAAGTTCATCTATTAAAAATTTTCAGTTTAGATTTGTTGCATAATTGTTCTTTGGGGGACTAATTTATAGAGTCCTTATGTTTTTTAAATGGATTAATGACTGATAAAGATTTTCCAAGTCTGTAACAGATATGTCTTGTTGACTGTTCTGTGCTATATGAAAGCTTCTCAGTTCTAAAGATCCTGTTAATTATTTCTCTAATGTTGGCGGGAAGCAATGTGTCCCCATAAAGGTAACAATTTTAATAATTCTATCCAGTTGTGTAAGTGCTCACGTACTGGATCAGATAATTATTTTCTGCCCCTAAAAGAGTTCCAGGCGGAGCTGATTCTAAAACATGTTTTGAGGTTGGCTATTCAGGCCAATTCAAAGGCCTGCTGCAGTGGCACAGGCCAATAGGATTTGCTCTTTGGAGCAGAGACCTGCAGGTCTCTAAGTTCAAGACCAGCCAACATCAATACTGGCTAAACTAAGTTTTGTTCTAAGTACTTTTTACTCCCAATATGTAACACATGTCACCTGTTAAAATTGTTATATCTTATCCATCAGCCATGCTGCGTGTTATTCAGAAAGGATATAAACTATGTTTACAAACCTTTGGTGTGTTACCTGATAAAGTTATTACACCATATACCCAGTCAAAAATAACTTGGCTGCAAAATTTTGCTGAGGATTAAACCTTATTTCTATGCACCAATCCCTGTAAGTTTGATAATCATTACTCTTCTAATAAGCTCGTTACCTTTTTCAAGAATCATCTGGTGTGTTTCCCTAAAGTTATTTCCTTAAAGCATTTGGCTGGGGCTAAAAATGTATTTACTGACGGTTCCTCCTCTGGGAGAGCTGTGGTGTTCTCCCCGCCTGTTATTTGCACTCAGACCATTGATACTAACTCAGCTCAGGTAACTAAATTAACCACAGTACAATTGGCCCTGGAGAAATATGCTGACATTCCATTTAACCTTTATACTGACAGTCAGTATATTAGCAAAATTCTCACGCCTTTGAAAACTGCAGCTTATATTGCTTCTGTATCTCGAGTCCAGATGCAGCTTCTGGCTATTCAGGCATTGCTTTCGGCCAGGTCTGTTCCCATATACGTGGGACATTTGTGAGCACATAGTGATCTTCCTGGCCCCTTGAGTGAAGGCAATGCCTTGACTGATGAACTCACTCGCCAGGTTTATACAGTTAGTCAAGAGTCTTAAAAAGCTGCTAAGAAGGCTCATAATTGCTTTCATCTCAATGCTGGGTCTTTGAGATTTCATTATAAGATATCTCGGGAGCAAGCCACTGAAATTGTTAAGAAGTGCCCTTTATGTGTAGAACTTTTAACTACTCCCCATTTGGAAATTAACCCTCATGGGCTGGCTCCCAACCATCTGTGACAGATAGATGTTACCCACGTTCCTTCTTTTGGACGTTTATAGTATGTTCACATAACTGTAGACACATATTCACACCTTATCTTTGCCTCAGCTCATACAAAAATAAATTACAAGATGTTAAAAGCCACTGTCTACAGACTTTTGCCTACATGGGGGGTCCCTAAATCTCTCAAAACAGACAATGGACCAGCCTATACCAGTGCTGGTTTTGCTAAGTTCTACCATAAGTTTCATATTTCTCACAAAACCGGTATACCCCACAACCCCCAGGGACAGGCGGTCATAAAAAGGACACACCACACACTTAAGGCTTATCTGCACAAAACTAAAAAGGGGGATTACAGTTCTACCTCCAGAGAGCATCTTTCGTTCATTTTATACATTTTAAACTTTCTGACCGTGGATGCTAGCTCCCGTACGGCCGCCAAAAATCACTGTCAGCCTAGCTCCCCCGGGAGGCCCCTAGTTAAGTGGAAAAATCTGGCAGGCGGCACTTGGTGTGGTCCGGACCGGGTTTTAATTTGGGGTAGAGGAGCGGTTTGTGTGTTTCCACAGGATGCAGATCATTCTGTCTGGGTCCCCGAGCAACTGGTGCGGACCGTGGATTCCTCTATTCAGAGACCTGAGGACGAGACAAGATCTAGAGATCCCGTGGACGCGGCGGCGGCGGAGATGGCAGATTCCTGAGAGATTATCCAGCGCCTGCTTTTGCCCTTTTCCCAGCTTCTTGTCCTTGCTCTGTCTTGACTGTTTTAGCCAAGGCTGCTTGACCCCCTGAGGGGAGACAGCTGCTTCCCCTACCCTGATTGCAGCGTTGGGTACCCGCGGCGGGAACCTTGCCAGAAAGACAAAATTACCATAGCTATTCAAATTAATCTAAATTCACAATTGGACGCTGTAGCTAATCTTTACAAACTGGGTGTGGATTTTGACCTCTGCTGGTTGCAGGAAAAGATTTTGCTGCTTTTTCTTGGACCCTGGTTACAAAATTTGCTAATTGGCTCTCATTTAGTTGACTAGTCAATCCAGGGGCTCCATTCACTGGTGCTGTAGCCCTACTCAAGGGGCTCTATTCTGAGCAAACGTTTCAGATATTGTGCAAGCACAGTCTCTTCCAGGAATGCTTTTGTGTATGCTGGAGCATCTTCACTTGGCCAGTGGCTTTCAGGTCCGCCATGGCCTGGCCCTAGTAGGAGTATCTTTCAGCATAAAACCGGCTGAACGTGTTTGAGTATGACTTTAGCCAAAGATGGGTCTAGACCGCTTGGGCAGGCATTTCCAACCTAAGACATGGGATACATCTGGACCTGAGGCGTCATCCTGACAACGGGTCAGGATTTGGCCTGGATCCCGGTGGCACCTAAGGCAGATTACTGTCATCATATTTTATATATTTACGGGGAGACTTGTTGGTACCCAGGTTTCTTCCCCTTTGTTCGTGGCGCTATGCAGGGCCATTTTACCTCTGGCTTCCTGGCTTCCCTGCTCTTGCACCGGCCTGAGGGTTTAGCTTAGAAAGAACTTGGCCCTCTTTTGTTATGGTAATTCCACCTGCAAGCAAGGATCCCGCCGGTGGCTATATGTCTGCCACTGCAGCTGCTGTCTGGCCTTGGGTGCCAGACACCTGACATCCTCTTCCCCTGTTCCGGATGGAAGGGGCTATTTTCCCTTTGCCCCCTAGTATATGTACCCGACTTGTGTTTAATAAAGTTGCCATTTACTCCCTGGTGAATGAGCATGATCTCTTTGTGTGTGTCTGTTCAACCCTTAGGATATTCATCCATTCTCGTGGACTTGATTCGGGAAAGTGCGCACCCGAATCGGGTGTGGGTATTCGCAGAAAAGTGCAGGCAGCAGTATGTGGTACCTATCCAGAAAATTGTCAATTTCTTTTACATTTTCCAATTTTGTGGAGTATAGGTTTTTGTAGTATGACCTAATGATTCTCTGCATTTCCTCAGTGTCTGTTGTATTGTCCTCCTTTTCAATTCATATTTTGTTAATTTTGTTTTTTCAGTGTCTGTTATTTATATTTTTTACTTTAAAAATAATATCAATCTAATTCTAAACTTTCTTTAGAAAAAATTCCCACTTCCTCCATTCCTCCTGCTTCCCTCCCGCTCCCCCCACTCTTCTCCTCACCCTCATCCAGTCCCAAGAGAGGACAAGGTACCCTGCCCTATGGGAAGTCCAAGGCCCTCCCCACTACATCTAGACTGAGCAAAGTATGCATCTAAAGAGAGTAGGATCCCAAAAAGCCAGTACATGCAGTAGAGACAAATCTTAGTGCCATTATCATTGCTTCCTCAATCTGCCCCAACTGTCAACCACATTCAGAGTAACCAGTTTGATTCCATGCTCATTTATTTCCAGTGTAACCAGATTTGGTGAGGAACCATTAGCTCAGGCAGACTATTTCAGTTTGGGAACCCCTCATGGTCCTAACTTCCTTGCTCATATTCTCCCTCCTTCTGCTCTTCAACTGGACCTTGGGAGCTCAGTCCAGTGCTCTGATGTGGGTCTCTGTCTGTCTCCATCCATCACCAAAAGATGATGAAAATTTTATGGTGATATTCAAGATAGTCATCAGTCTGACTATAAGACAAGGCCAGTTCAGGCACCCTCTCCTCTACTGCCCAGTGTCCTAGCTGGGGTCATCCACATGGACTCTTGGGAACCCCTCCAGAGCCAAACCTCTTGCCAACCCCAAAGTGGCTCCCTCAATTAAGATATCTTCTTCCCTGATCCCATATCCATCCTTCCTCCATCTCAACCATTCCACTCCACCAAGCTATCTCCAACCCCCCTTTCTCTCCCTTCTCCCCTTCCCCCACCCCACCTCCATCCCCATGCTCCCAACTTTTGCTCGGCGATCTTGTCTGCTTCCAATTTCCAGGAGGATCTTTATATTTTTTCTTTTTTTTGTTTTTTTTCTTTTCCTCTGTGTAGTACTCTAATATGTATATGTGCCACATTTTCTTTATTCATTCTTCCATTGTTGGGCATCTAGGTTGTTTCTAAGTTCTGGCTATTACAAATAATGCTGCTATGAACATAGTTGAACAAATGCCTTTATAGTATGATTGGGCGTCTTTTGGGTATATTCCCAAGAGTGATATTGCTGGATCCTGAGGTGGGTTGATTCCCAATTTTCTGAGAAACCACCATACTGATTTCCAATGTGATTGCATGAGTTTGCATTCCTACAAGCAATGGATGAGTGTTCCCATTACTCCTTATCCTCTCCAGCATAAGCTATCATTAGTGTTTTTGATTTTAGTCATTCTGACAGGTGTAAGATGGTATCTCAAAGTTGTTTTGACTTGCATTTCTCTGATAGGTAAGGAAGTTGAACATTTCCTTAAGTAACTTTTGGCCCTTTGAATTTCTTCTGTTGAGAATTCTCTGTTTAGTTCAGTATCCCATTTTTTAATTGGGTTATTTAGAATTTTAATGTCTGGTTTCTTGAGTTCTTTATATATTTTGAAGATCAGTCTTTTGTCTGATTTGGGATTTGTGAAGATCTTATCCTATTCAGTAGGTTACCTTTTTTTCTTATTGACTGTGTCCTTTGCTTTACAGAAGCTTCTCAGTTTCAGAAGGTCCCATTTATTCATTTTTTTTCTCTTATTGTCTGTGCTACTGGGGTTATATGTAGGAAGTGTTCTCCTGTGTACATGCATTGAAGGCTACTTCCCACTTTCTCTTGGATTCATATTGAGGTCTTCAATCCACTTGAACTTGAGCTTTATATGTGGTGATAGATATGGATCTATTTTCATTCTTCTACAGCTTGACATCCAGTTATGCCAGCACCATTTGTTGAAGATGCTTTCTTTCTTCCATTGTATAGTTTTAGCTTCTTTGTCAAAAAACGGGTGTTCATAGGTGTGTGGATTAATATCCAGGTCTTCGATTCGATTCCATTGGTCAACATCTCTGTTTTTATGCCAACACAAAGCTGTTTTCATTACTGTATCTCTGTAATGAAGTTTGATGTCAGGGATGGTAATGCCTCCAGAAGTTTATTGTATAGAATTGTTATGGCTATCCTGGGTTTTTGTTTTTCCATATAAGGTTGATGATTGTTCTCTCAAGGTCTGTGAAAAATTTTGTTGGGATTTTGATGGGGATTGCATTGAATCTAGAGATTGTCTCTGTTGGTCCTGTTTGTTTACCCAGATTTTTCATATCCAGAGTTCTCTTGGTTTGTGTTTTCTTTATTACCTACATTTCGGTTTTCAAGTCTTGAACTGTTTCCTTTACCTGTTTTATTGCTTTTTCTTGGTTTTCTTGAGGGATGTATTAATTTCTTCTAACTTTTTATTTGTCTTCTCTTCCATTTCTTTAGGAGAATTTTTCACTTCCTGTTTAAAGGTCTTCATCTCTTTCATAAGATTACGTTTAAAGTCATTTTCTTCTACTCTTCTGGGTTAGGATGTTCAAATCTTCCTGTTGCTTGTTCGCTGGATTCTGGTGTTACTACGTTGCTTTTCAGGATGTTGGAGGAATTCTTACATTGTCACCTACCCTTTTGTTCCTTCAAATGAGGCCAGCTGAGTCTTGGTGTCTTGGTCCAATCTTTGCTGTGGCTTACTGTGTACTTGGGAGTTTTTCTTGGTCTGCCCTCTCTTAGGTCCCATCAACACTGGAGCAGTCTGTGTTGCAGGATTCCAAAGACCTCACAGGCAGGGTGAAATGGGGTGGGTTGGGGTGGGGGGGTGGGGGAAACAGCGGGCGTGGGGGCAGGGTGTGTTAGGGGGGAAAGCCTAGCAGCAGGGTCATTCCCAGCTGGCTGGCAAGAAAAACTAGGGAGTTGTGGAGGGGCCCCTATGTTCTGGCCCACTGGTAAGGTCCTGGAGAGTGGGGCATCCGGCTGTCCGGCTTGTGGACACTGACTCATCTCTCAAATTACCTCGGTACTGAAGCAGGCTGTGTTGCAGGGTTCCAAGGACTTCGTAGGCACAGGCGAAAAAGCGGGTTGGGGGGCAGGTTCGAATGGTGTAAAGAAAGCCAGCAGCAGGATCACACCCCGCTGGATGTCGAGAAAAGCTTCGGGAATTGGGGGGAGCTGGATTTTGTTCCCCTGGGAAAGTGCCATAGTGTGGTGCTTCAGGCCGTCAGGCCCTGTGGCCACTGACTGACCTCTCCAGTCTCTACAGCACTGGAGCATGGTCTGTTGCAGGGTTCTAAGGACCTTTCAGATGAAAACACGGGCTTTGGGGGCAGGGTGGGATTAGGTAAGAAAGCTCAGCAGCAGGAACACTCCCCGCTGGCTCTTGGGTCCCCTCAGCCCTGAAGCAAACTGTGTTGCAGGGTTCTAAGTACCTCACAAGTGAAAAGACGGGCTTGTGGGCAGAGGAGGATGGGGTAAAGAAAGCCCAGCAGCAGGAACACACCACACTGGATGGCCAGAAAGGCTCAGAGAATTGGGGGAGCTAGGATTGTGTCCCCCAGGAAGGTCCCAGAAAGTCGCTATGACCTTTCCTCTTAGCATTGCTTTAATAGTGTCCCATAGGTTTGGGTACATTGTGCCTTTATTTTCATTGAATTCTAGGAAGTTTTTAATTTCTTTCTTTATTTCTTCTTTGACCTAAGGGTGATTCAGCTGAACATTGTTCAATTTCCATGAATTTGTAGGCTTTCTCCAGTTAGTGTTGGTGAATTCTAACTTTAATCCATGGTGATCTGAGAAGTTACAGGGGGTTTCTCCAATTTTATTGTCTGTTGAGGTTTGCTTTGTTACTGAGTATGTGGTCAGTTTTAGAAAAGGTTCCATGATATTCTGAGAAGAAGGTATATTCTTTTGTGTTTGGGTGGAATGTTCTGTAGATGTCTGTTAATTCCATTTGAGTCATGATACATGTTCTCTTATTTCTCTGTTAAGTGTCTGTCTAGTTGACTTGTCCGTTGGGGAGAGTGGAGTGTTGAAGTCTTCTACTATTAGTGTGTGGGGCTTAATGTGTGTTTTAAACTTTAGTAATGTTTCTTTTACACATGTGGGTACTTTTGTATTTGGGACATAGAGGTTCAGGATTGAGACTTCATCTTGATGGATTTCTGCTATGGTGGGTATGATATGTCCTTTTCCATTTGTTTTGATTTATTTTAGTTTGAAGTCTATTTTGTTTGATATTAGGATAGCTACACCCCCTTGTTTCTTAGGTCCATTTGATTGGAAAACCTTTTCCCAACACTTTCCTCTGAGGTAATGTCTGTATTTGAGGTTGAGGTTTCTTGTACACAGCAGAAGAATTGATCCTGCTTTTGTATCCATTCTCTTAGCCTGTGTTTTATAGGTGGATGGAATCCATTGATATTATGAGATACTAATGACCAATGATTGTTAATTCATTCTATTTTTTGATGGTAGTGTGTGTGTTCCCTTCTTTGGGTTTTGTTGTAGTGAGGTTATCTGTTGCCTGTGTTTTTGTGGGTGCAGTTAGTTTTCCTTCTAGTACTTTCTGTAGGGCTGGGTTTGTGCATAGGTATTGTCTAAAACTGGCTTTGTCATGACTATCTTGTTTTCTCCATTGATGGTAATTGAAAGCTTTGCTGCATATGGTAGTCTGGACTTGCATCTGTGGTCTCTTAGTGTCTGAAGCACATCTATTCAGAACCTTCTGGCTTTCATGGTTTCCATTGAAAAGTTGGGTATAATTCTGATAGGTATGCCTTTATATGTTA